TCAAAGTTAAAAACCGGGTTCTTCAAAGAAGAAATGAACTTCTGCAAAAACAAACAAAACTTGTTTCCTTTGGGAACAGTCACAAACACATGTTTCTTCCTTCTCAACTGCCACTCAATCACATTGCAACATAGCAACCAAATAGAAGCTCTGTTTTGTTTGGGAGAAGGGTTGTTGATCACTACACAGTGGGGCTGCAACCTCTCAAGTTGCTGCCAAATAGCATCTTGACCCTTCCACGTGGGAAAGTTGTATCCTGCCTTGAAATCCATAGGAGATGCAACTCTTACACCATTCTTTGAAAGGAACCAAGATAATCCACTGTTTCCATGAAGTAACTCAACAACATCAGGATGATCATCATTACAAAAGAAAAAGGACTGTTCTCCAAATTCGGCATCAACATACAGTTCGTGATCTTCACGTAAGTTCTCCGGGTTCTCATCGTCTAATGCCGGTATGGAAACATCATGCCACTCATCGTGATCACGTCTAACCTTTGACTGATTCACACGTACCACTGCCTTACCAGTGTTGGCTTGGACCATAGCTCCTTCTTGTCCAAGTACTGTGGCACGAACCCAACGTCCTTTATCCTTGAACTTTGATGAATCCTGAGTCCAAATAAAAACCTTCTCTCCTTGAAAATAGGGGCCGTCACTTGGCATAGTCCTTCTTGCAAGATCTGCTCGAAGGTCCTGAGCTTGTCGTGCTTCTTGATGAGCTCTCAAAGCTACACGTTGTAGTTCCAGATTTGTACGATCTTGTGCGGCTGCAACTGCTCAGGGCTTGCGGTCTCAAGGTCAAAAAGATCTGGTGGACGTCTTCCAGTTGCTATCTCTATTGGTGAATATCCACTGATAGTCAACTGACAATTTCTTGCCCACACTACTTTCTTAACCACTTCCCTGACCGTAACACCACGAAAACGTGGGTCATCCAGATCTACTTTCATAACATGCCACATACGTTTGAACAAACGTACAGCTGTCTCTGCTCGGTTCGGCCAAGGAGTTCTTGGTCCACAAGGACATTGTTGTATACCATGAAACCTGTAGTATTCAACAAAAGCATCCGTGAAAAAGGCTTCGTCTCCTACGATGGCCTTCGGAACACAGTTGTTCTCATCAGACCACTGCCTCGATGCTTGGATGGTGGTTTGATCTATGAGGTCTTTCTGTGCCGTAGCCCAGAGAAGATTTGTGGCACCATCAAGAACAAGTAGAATGATATACTTGTTCTTGTGAAGTTCAACCTCACAATGATCAGCAAAAACAACATCACCAAAACATGAAGCTCTAATACCGGAGACTCTGGCTCGTGGCGGAGGTGCCACTGAAGTGTTACAAACACGGCAGTTCCTGACAACTGATTCATATTTCTCTAAAACAGAGTCAGGAAGCTTCAACATAGAAACACGTCTACGAAACTGAGTAGGACTCATATGGTAGTGCTTCACATGAAGCTTATAAAGCTCTACCTTGTCCTCCAGTCTCTGTAACATCTTCCTATATGCCGGTGTCATTGCAACAACTTCACTACCAGGTAATGGGATTGAAATCCGCCTAGGCTCAAGAGCGCCATCACCTGGTTCAAGTGGTTCACGTTTATCACTTGATGGTCCTTTTGATGCTTTAGGAATTTCTACAAGTTCACCTTCTGGCCTCTCAGGTGGTTCTGAAGGAGTATAACCCTCAGGATCATCACCTTTTAAATTCTGTGGAGGCTCAGATGGTTTCGACTTGTGTCCTTTCCAAAATGGATCAAAACCCTTGGAAGTATACCGAAACTTCGGCGGCACGGACTTTTCCGCGGCACTGGATGGTGCACCTTCCTTCTCTGAAGAGAAGCCTGGTTCCCTGTCCTTTGCAATGGGAACCTTCTCTGAGGAGGAGCGCACCACTGCATCGGGATCACCAATGCCACGGTGCTCAATGCCAGCCTTCCTGATCTTTAGATCTGGAATTTTGGCATCTGGCTTGAACTTAAAAATTGTTCTACCACGCCATTCATAGCCAATTTGTAGGTCCTTCCATTTTGCCTTGCGCCAATCATCTTGCTTCTTGATTTCTTCTCCTCCTTCTTTCTTCTTGATGATTGTCAGTCGCAAGTCTTCCAGCAAGTCAGTGTCTACAGGACAGGACTTAGTTGCTGGGAAAAGAATCTTCCTGTAATCCTTGTGGTGACGTATCAGTTCTCTTTTGTGAACATCTACTTCCCAGTAATCAACCACAGGATATGCATGCTCAGCTTCATCTTCATCACTATTGTGATCAACAGAAATATGGCCATATTCATAGTGAGTGAAGTGAGAGTAAAAACTCTTCTCGCGCCGAGCCTGCAAACGCACGTCAGACAGATACCATGCAATATCTTGGAAGTCCAAAACAAGATGAGTACTGGCTGCAACCTTCAACTCCAAAAATTTGATACCAAGAGGCACCGATGTCAGGTAAGCATGTTGAGGTGTCAGCCTGAGTTCAAAGCCTAAGTTCCTCATCTGTGGCAAGCTCATAAGCAAAGGGACTTCTCCTTCTTCAACTATGTCGAACTCTGTATGGTGGATCGTCCATGCACGATCATACATGTAAATCACCAGCTTCTGCGAGCAAGAAGCCTTCTGAGAATTGGCAAAGTAAAACTTGCTCTTGGTAGACTCAAAGGAGTACCATAGTCCACAGTTTGGGTGATTGTCGACATAGTTACAAAAATAATCGACTGCACGCCTTGATCCCATAGCTCTAGTGCATCCAATGTCCAGGATTGCAATAGTTGGCGGGAAGCGATTCTCAGTCAAAAATGAAATAGCCTGCATCTCCTTCACTTCTTCCTCAGCGCTCATAAGCGCAAAGCCATCAGGAGCATCTGTGAGCATCTCCTTTGACAAAGAGTACCTCACAGGGGCACTCATGTCATCGAAGATCATCTCACCATTGTTGACCTTACCGTCAGCTTCATCTTGACATGAGGTCATCATGCCTGACAGCAAGTCCACCTCACTGTCATGGACTTCAGCTGCTGTTGTCACACAATGTGCAAAGAAACCTTGGTTGCTTCCTGATGCTTGTGAATTTCTTGAAGGTGCAGGTAAAGAACGTGGCTGTTGTTGATTTGCATAGTTTGCATCTTGTTTGCCATCTCCTTTATCTTTTCCTTTTCCTTTCTTGCCTTTTCTCTTGCCTTTTCCTTTTCCTTTGTGGGAAAACCATGCTTCTTCAAGCTGTTGCCAAAAGTCATTGGCATCTTCATATTCTCCTTGAAGATAGTCATTCATATCTTCGGCAAGAATAGCATCATATGCTACTTGGTTTGACTCCCAAGTGTCCTCATAAGGATTCTCTTCAAAATACTCATCTGGATAAGTTGGCGGTTGCTCATCAGCATAGTGGCCTTTTCCTCGTCTCTTTCCTTTTCCTTTTCCACGAGGTCTGAAGAATCTGCGGCCTGATCTTCCCTTGCCTTTTCCTTTTCTTCTTCCTTTGCCTTTGCCTTTTCTGGCTCTTCTTCCTTGGAATCTCCTCTGGAACCAAGAGAAATTCTGTTCATCATATACCCAAAAGACATCGTCCAGGGCATCTAGGAATCCTTCTGTTCCATCTTCTTCATCTTCGGCCCAATAGCCAAATGTACCATCGAGTTCTCCTTCGTCTAGTACGAGAAATGATCTTCTACCTCCAGCACCTGTCGGCTGCATCAAAGGATTGTCTACTGAAGTCTTTGTCGTGCAGAACATCTCGATGAACACTGTCCTCAACTCTGTTGTAGTGTATTGCTGTAGGACCCTGCCACGATGAGTCATCAAAGAAGTCAAAGTGTTTCGCTGGTCCTGAGACAAATCTGCAAGTGACAGCATGAGTAAGGCAATCAGATTTTCTCCCAAAGGAAAATCGTTCTGATGAAAAGTTCTCATATTGCCATTGATGGTCTGCATGATTTCCTGAATCCTTTCTGCCGTTGGAGCTACTCCAGTCAACGCTGCATCAGCCTGCATCTGAGCTAGGACCTGAGGATGTGCTTGTGTGACTGGCTCTAACATATCCATCCAACTGCTCATAAGCCTTTGGAGTAAAATCTGGAATCTTGTCATCCATTTCATCATGTCCGCTGATCCGCGGTTGAAGCGCACGAATTGCATAAACCTATACAGGAATACATTGGTTGATCCTTTCACAAAATATGGACGTAGTACTCGTTTGAAGTATTCTACTCCAGCTCCTGGTGGATCATTTGCCTTCAATGCATCTCTGTCTAATACACGTTTGTATACGGCTGCTTCTCCTTCTAATCTGTTTCTCAAAGCTGGTCCTCTTTTCTCATCTTCCAGCTCGGTGATATCACACCAATCATCTATGGCATCCTCATAGGAAAACCATGAAGTCTTTCCATCATAAGATGGGGGCACCTTTGTAGTGACCTGTGTTGTCATAGCTATCGCTGCTGGTTCTCTTCTCACATGCCTATTCACATAGGCTGCTGGCTCATAAGCCACATCCGCATCAGGCTCTTCCCAGTCGTCAATCCAATCCATGGCCGGTTGCCCACAAGCAAGTCTATGCCTAGGAAAGGAGCTCACCTGGGTCTTCCAGGATCACTGCTCCGCTACCACTGAAAGAGTGACTAGGGCGTACACGGTAGAGGTGCAGACCGCTAGTGTCTTTTATGCGCAGAGTCTTATCCTCTTAGCATCTCTTGAGCCTTATGGCAGTCAAGCATGGACACACTAGATAGGCCACTGGAGTGGAACCTGTACAAGTATGCCTCTACATTTCAAGGGGAGGGGAGGGGAGGGGAGGGAGAGGGGAAGAGAACACAAAAGAAGCGAGGCAAAGCGGCAAAACTAATGTCACACATCAATCAAATTTCCATGCTTTGCCACGGAAATGGGGAAACATTAATCAGAATTTGCACAGCCCTCTATCATGTTAGTCACACGTGCGGAAGCAAAGAAAACTGGCTCAGCTGGAAGAGAACAGGTGGCTCAGGGAAAAAGCAGCCGGCTCCTGCTTCCAACAGGCACCTGGTCAAAGAATGATCACCGAAAAATGCCGCCATGCCCAAAGGTGTGATGCCTTCTAGGCTTCCGAAGAGTTTGGTGGCAGCCGACAAGGATCCGAAGTCATACCTCGGTTCGCGGCGCCGGCGCCCGTGGCGGTTTGGATCTCAAAGTCAATTTAGCCGATCTGGGGTGGCTGACATCCGGAGTCAGTGAATGTCAATATTCCACACATGGGAGTGAAATATTTACCCAGACACTCCATGGGACTGCCATATATGCCGATCAGTTGGGGTGGTTGACTGGGGGTTGACTGGGGGCGGCAGTCCGGACTGGCAGTCCCAGACAGGTCGTGTCTGGGTTACATCTCCCATGACCATCGGACTGGAAGATCGGACCGGTGAACCAAGGATCTATCGATCGGCCATCTCTTCCTCCCATGGATGGATCTCTTCCTACCATCTGAACATCCGGACGCGTGATCATCACTGACTTTCACGAAAAAGAACACAACAATTCCAAACACTCCATGGATAAATATGACATGAAATGAAAGGCACACCTTCCGTAGATGGAGTGTTTGGGATGGATAAGTCGCATGCCGCCAAAACAATCCCTTGCCGACTAGAACTCTTTGTTCCAGCGTTTTGGCCTGTTCCATGGCCGGTCAACCAAGACACATGTAGGAGATGATCTGGGAGCTGTGGCAGATGCATGCAAAAATACTGGTCCCCGCCGTGGACAGCTGCACGTCCACCTCCGCGCGATGTTCCAAGAGCAGCTGGGCTTTCTCCGCCGCTTGGCGCTTGGAAAAGGCCGCCACCACGTGCAGAGGATGGATCCCAGCATTGGATGGATTCACGTCGCACCTGGCCACGAGACCACGGAAACCAGTTGCACGCACGGTCGTGGGGTTCGGATGCGGCATGCGGCCCGGACGCGAACGCTTGGAGAGCGGATTAAGGGTGGGTTGAAGCCCATCTTCGAGAAGACATCTAGGGGTTTCGAGCCTGATAACCACCTTTCTTTCTATCAATTAGATAAAGCAGGAGGGTGCAACAATTCGAGACATGATGAGTTGCCAAGGTTCAGAGCCGCACAATTCGCTCATTCCGCAGAGATTCGCTCATTCCGCAACATTCCCTATGGATTGAGAAGGTGATTGTTAACAGTAGGCTTGGAGAGTCCAATTGGTATATGTGGATCCATAGGGATTGGAAAATGACAGAAGTTTTCACCAAAAGAGTTCATGGGTAGACCTGGTCAGGCACCCACATATACCCCACTTCTTTGGGGCACTAAAAGGGGGTATCAACCATTTGGGCACGTAGGAGAAACCTGTGTTTCTCCGGACCCTTCGACCCCCAAACTCTCAGCCGGCCGAACCACCTGATCACCCCAATTCTCTTCCCTCCGACCACCCCGGTGACCACCCCGAACCACCCCGCCACCCTCGGCGTCGCCACGCCTGTGCAAAATCATCTCCTTCACCGTGTCGAAGCTCGCCCAACAGGCCACCGAGGCCAAGGGAGGGTTGCGGAAGCGGGTCAAGTTTTGCATGTCCTGACCGGGCCAGTTCGCGTCGCGGCGCGTTCCCAGACACGACCAGAATCTAACATATGTTTAAAATATACATTGGAGTGGTTGGCTTCAGGGGTGAATGTGGATAAATAGACATGGAATGTTTGGTTTTTTTTCAGACCCCGATCTCTCTCCCATACCAGCCAGGTCAACTGTTCGGGACTTCTTTTTGTTAAGAAAAAACAAACTCTATGGCTCCAATTACATCCTCAGAAGGTCTTTGGACCCTCCTGGCACCCACCCCAGTCCCACTTTCTCAGAAGGGCAACAAATCGACGCAGGAGCATCTGGTGTGGAATCCGTTTGGACTCTAGACAAAGCATGACCTGGCTTGAGCTGGAGCATCTGAAAGCAAGCACCCCAATGAGCGCGGACGGCTTCCACCGCTTCTGGGCACTTTATGGCTCTTTGGATGCCAGTATAGTGGATTGAGAGTATAGATGGCACGATCCCAAACAGGCTTAGTTTAATCACCCGTCTGGAAGAAACTGGACAGAGTCAGGGTGATTGAAAAAAGAAACAAAACAACATCCCTGACTCTGCAACAGATCCTTCCAATCCCCCACCTGACATGGGTGCTGGTGTGGTCACCGTGGTCCCCACTCTGGCCTGCTGTGATGTTCATGGGACCAAAAGGCAAAGCGCGAGACACGACACCTCTGAGTGTCCCAGTGACGTTGACCGAAGCACCCAGTGTCCCAGATCTGTGGTCCATTAGACACATCATGACACATCCAGTATAGGACCGGACAAACATAAAACTCTCAAAGACTCAAAGTCCCCCAAAAACAGCACACCCAACCACACGATCCTATAGAATCCGACCATCACATCAGTGAGTCTAGAAAGGCAAGGCAAGGGGTGCTCTTCACCCCCCCCTGAAACGCGTTCCAACGGATGGAACCCAAAACCGCGCACCGAGTGGCCACGCCGGCGTTGGCCAGCACCTGCACCTGTCCGGGCGTCTGGACCCAGTGGATCACCTGCGCACCAAAGCGGCTCGCAGCGGTGAGATCGGCTTGGAGCTCCAACAGCGTCGACAGCACGACCTGCGGGGTGGAGAGGTCAGGCGGGTTGTGTCGTGCGGTGCGTTTCGTGGGCTTTTTCTGAAAGGGAACACGTTTTTGGCCCTCTTAATCCCTCTTGGGATGCCCAACATGTCGGCAACCACATTGACCTCTGAAATCAGCCACCCCTAGGGCTCCAGTCGTACCGTATCGTTTCGAAGGTGGGACTGGGGTGGGTTCAGAGGGTCCAGTCATACCTTCTGAGGAGGCGCGGCACGACTGGAGCCCTATGCTTACGCTCCCTGAAATAGCTCCATTGGTGGAAGCAAAACACCGGACATAGCGATCTTGGAATGTGTAGGAAAACACATTCTTAAGATACATTAAGAAACAAAACCGATGTTCTCTTGGGAAACAGGAAGCTTTTTCAAAAGGTCAACTGAACAAAGGAGTTGATCCAAATCCCTCAAAAGGGAAGGATCCCATAAACTAGGCTAAACATGGATGATCCCTGTATTGAATCAATTTCCAAGGAAAACACCCAAAGACCTCCGAAGACTTGTATAAGTGGGACACTTTATGACAATGAATGGATTGAAAGTGGTCGAGCCGAAATCTGATGACTTCCTCCGTTCCCCTGGCAAGCATTACTTGGGCTGGACCCTCTATGACTCTATGAAACTGATTGATCGACACCCTAAGATCTTCAGATTCTAGTCACTCGTCCAGTTAGGGGTGGAAAACACCATGACTCAAACCGATTTGATCCGATTTGGTCCAGCCCAGGCGCCGGATCTTGCTTGCATCTGGCCGCCATCATCAGCGGCGTGTGGCCCGAGGGCTGACGGCAAATCTTTTCCAAGCCGTGACACCTGCCAGATCGACGGCCCACCTCCCAGACACTCAATGTACCAGGAGTCACAAAGAGGTGCCGAACTTGGAGGATAGGGGTGCCCAGAATCCACTCACTTGGGGACAAAAGACCACTCCTTTGTGACATTCTGGTGTATTTACTTAGGATTGGAATTGGTTTGGAGGGGTGAATGGTAGGTATTGATTCCAGACCCACCGGATCCAGGGCCTTTGTCCGAAGACGCGTTCCTTTTCGAAAGAAAAACGTCCCACCTCACGGGTCACCTGGACCCTGCACGACGTAGGCACCAATTGGATGATCCAGGTAGAAACCTGTCAATACGTCCGGCTCTTCCCGGAACACTCCATGGCAAAAAATAACAATGGGGTGGTTTGGGGGTAGCCGGAAAGAGACACAATCAATCCTTGTGTATAGAACAGCAGGAGGAATTCGGTTCATCAATAGACAAAGCTCCTTTCCAGCCCGGGGCACTGGAGAGCCTTGCAGCCATGTTTGGGGCCTAGAGCCCAATTTTAGATCCCCAAGCCACCCCACCGATCAGTATATTTGATTTTGATTGGTTTTGCTTAAGCTGATTGTTATGTGCGTCCCCAACCAATCCCAGAGGATCCGTGGGACTGGAAGATGTACCTATAGCATTCATTTTCCGCACCTTCCACGAAGGGGGGTCGGTCTCTCGAACGGTTAAAAAACACCCATACATCTATCCCAAAGGCTCAAAAACGCTCAGAGTCTGGACCCAACCCGTTTGCCTTGGGCTTGGACTCACAAGTGTAGGGCTTTTTGGACCAAAGCAAAATATAGCAGCCTCTCCAGCAGGCTGCTTGGAGACCCTAACAGGTGGTTTCTGGACACCTGTGGTCACCAGGAACCACCTGCTGGAGGATCCAGGTATATATACCAGGGCCCAGTGTATGATGGTGGTTAGGTTGCAAACCTCTGCCCCCAAAGCAGTGATCATCTTGAAGACCGACTGCGACTGCTATTGGGATACACCCGACTGTGACTGCTATATGGTTTGGAGACCCCCCTCAGGGGAACACGGAACGGGTCGGATGGGCCGGAACTGCCTCGCCTGAGGTTGACATCTGCCGTGTTTTGGACTAAGACCCGAATCATCTGCACATCGCCTGGAAGATGCTGGGAAGAGATCGGTGCCGTCGTGCGCCGGCAGTGCGCTCCAGCTGATGTGGTCAAACAACATGTGCAACCCAGGTATTAAACGAAAACACACTCTTAGTCTCTGTTAATGGAGTTTGGCAGCTTAACCGCCCGCTACAAAAAAAAACTGTATAATATGATATGGAAACATAAAGAACGATTGGAACCGTCATCGATCACCTTTCACCTTGTTGCATCCTTCTTAATTGGAGATTGGAGACCTGAAAACGGGTCGCCCATTCAGCCTGAGAGAACCGCGCAAAGCAAGCCAGGCATTGGGCTTTGATCTGTGGCAGCATCATGGAGGCTTGAAAACCTGGGCGCTGGGCTATGCCAAGGCTATCGCTGCACCGGATTCTGCACACCATTCCTTGGGGCCTTACTCAAACCCTAGGGCTCCAACTACCTCCGTTTCGAAGGTGGCTAGAGGATATGTTTGGAGCTCGGGCTAAAAGCACAGTCCAGGACGAACGACAACACGCTACACCTACCTCAGACAGATCAAGACACTGAAACTGCCTCAGAAACTCCTCGATCTCCCACCCTGCTCTCTGGCTCCTGGCAGCAGCTCGGCCGAAAACGCGAAACCTCGCGAAACGGGGCGCGAAAACGTCGCGGGTGACTTGACAGAGAGTTCGAACGACACAGCATAGAGCCGATCTCCAAACGGATTCTGCTGGACGGCTGCCAGCGATCAGATCAGTCACCCAAACACTCCATGGGACTGCCATAGGACTGCCGCCCCAGCCAGACCCCCCAAACCACCACCCCTGGCCGTGCCACTCGGCAGTCCGGACTGGCAGTCCCAGACAGGTCGTGTCTGGGTCAGTGATCAGTGATTATCGAGTCTTTGACCGTTTAAACCAGTCTCGTTGGGCGAAAACCTGGAACGTCTGAAGGGCCACCGGTGTGGCACGCGGACGCGGCAATTGGAGAGCGGAGTCGATGAATAGAATCTCTCTGACATAGGAATCGGGTCTGGGGTATGCTTGTTTGTTGATGTTTGTTGTTTTTTTTCGTATTTTTTCGTGGGTTTGTTTGGAGGGGAGTCCATGGTCGACCATTCCAACCACAAGCCTCTTGTTGGCCATTTATTGACCCCCAAAAAAAGCGCCCCACCATGTGGCTCGTTTCGGTCCCATGTCTGTGATTCTCTGGGTGGATCGACACTCGAAAGCGTGCTGCTTCCACCCCCCCAAACTGCCCCCGCGCTCAACACGCTCCTGCTCAAGTGGAATTGCCCGGTGAGCAAATAGCGCAAATAGGCCAACGACCCTGCCTCGCTCTCGTGCTGAATCTTCATCGCAACGGACTTTTGGACCAGTGATGAAACCATCAGCCGATCGTCCTGGACGAAGGAAGCTCGACGAAGGAAGCACGAAACCGCCGAAAGCGAAACCACGGAGCTGAACGGTGGATCCGACGATGTACCTAGACCATCTTGGACCCAACTTCAAGAAGATGGGACATGACCCGGACCAAAAAACTGGTACTATATACTGTATTTCTGGTTGGTGTTTTGAAAACATATTAGTCAGAGGGTCCAATCATCCCCAAGTAAGGGTTGAACATAAACATATCCGAAACCATCACCTATAAGCTACTGTATTGTCCAAGGTACGAGTACGAACGGGTCGACTCCGGGTCGACTCCAGGTACTTCCACCCGAACTGGCGGGCGGTTCGGGTGCTGTTTTGACTTCTTCGCACGTGAAACTGGCTTCATCCATCCCTAGGGATCCAGTCGTACCGAACCTCAGCAGGTGATTGGACCCGACAATGGCACCTACATAGCAGTGTCTCCGTCCTCACCGTACCTGAGGTTCGGTACGACAACGGATCCCGGCTGGGCATGTGGTCTTCTTCTCCCAACGCGACACTCGCATCGGTCTCTGAAAAAAACACGAATGTAGAATCAGGGGTGGGTGCCAGGGTCGGGTCTAGTCATACCGAACCTGAGGAGGTACGACTGGAGGTGTAAGGAATCCAAATGAGGGTTTGTTGATTCATCAAGATCACTCACGCATGCACACAATCACACCCAGAATGGTCAGAATGTTCCTTTGGTCGTCAGTCAACAAATTTCAACATCCCAAACACAGTTCTTGAATGAGTTTGTCTTGAGTCTTGAGTTTGGATTTTCCATGCAGAGTCCAAGTATTCCGTCCAGGGCAGGTGAGTGACTCACAACGAATCAGTCCTCGACGGTGAATTGGCTTTGCCACACCGCATCCCAGTCGATCTTGTAAGAACTGAGTTCCACATGCTTTGCAGAATGAAGCGTGATGATCGTGGTGTCCGGTTTGCTGGACAATTGTTGGCAGAGCAATTCCGAAATGCACCATCCGCGAGACTGCCATGAAGTGCAATTGCAAATCAATCCAGTGTCGTGATGAAAGAGCTCCGGAGCGAGGATCACAAACAAATGGCATCCTTGGCTGTCCAGCTCAATCCTTTGGCTGTCGGGTTTAACATGGTGAACAGTTAAACCAGATCTTGGCTTTATAGTAAGAAACCCAATTCCAAAATAACCAACAGGGCTGTCCACAGGCATGTTATTTTTTTTGGCGGTACAGGGCTGTCCATAGGCATGTTATTATTTTTGGTGGTACGACGGTACGCCAGGCAAGCTTCGCTCGACATATCCAGGAATACTCTGAATGGCCTTTGCTGCCTCAGGCGGTGGAGCATCGTCCGTTTTGGAGGTCAGTTGCGGGACGCCAAGCCAATCCAACCTTAGCCATCGCGGAGGGATGATGGTTGGTCTGCGTTTTATTATATGAACTATTGAAACACATATAACATGTTATATTCAATATTAAATATATATGTAGGGGGAAAAAAGATGGAGCCCACGAACCCGAATGCAAACACATACGTCAAACCACTGCGTATAAAAAGAGACACAGCCGGTCAGAATCTCTTTTTCACTCTCTGGCACGCTGTTGGACATCATGCGCTGGGGACTCCACCACCAAGGCAGCATGCGCTGGGGACTTCACCACCAAGCTCCGTCTTCATCATGAAGGGTCTTTGTTTTGCATTCAAATCAAGCACTGGCGTAAAGGTTCTGGCAGATCCGCGGCACGAAAGAAACAATGGCATTGTCCCAAAATCTCGAAAATAAGCACTTGAAAATGATAACCGTCCACATAATACAGAGAAATCCACAACTGCGGCGACTCCGCTCTTCCAAGCGTTGCATGCCAGTGGTGAGATGTTTGAGCACCGGTCCACAGGTCAACGAGGGTTTCGTCGTGTAGTCACAAGTGTAGAAGGAAGTCTGAATGCCAGAGCGCAACCCTTCCACCAAATTTTCTCGAAGCCAGACGTACAAAACTTTTTGGGCGTCGTTCCAAAATCGATCACCGATTCGAGCAGCCTCTCCCGCCCCGCGCGCGTCCATCTCATCATAGCTGAACCTTCTGCATGCCAACGACAAGCTGCGGCACATGGAGTTCGATAGGAAGGGTCCCAAAGTTTCGCCAATGCGACGCGTTGCTCGCCACGAGCTTCCGTCTAAGTCTAGGAGATTCATCAAACAAAGTTCACAAAACACCTCCCCGATGACTCTCTGTGTGACCACATGCACGCGCAACTTCTTTGGACTTCGGTGTTGGTCTGACGCAGTCAAGATGGCCATCGTGTCCGCCTGGCGTCGGCTGACTATGTGAAATCCGGGAGCGGTGACTCCGTATCTGTAGCCGCGGTAGAAACAAGCACGGATAAGACGTGGTGGCATACGGTTGGAAACAATAGCATACTAGCTAAAGAGAACGGAACCATCAAACCACAGAGTCCAAATTTCATTGAAAATTCATCGAGTGAGCATGAGGCCTCATCGTCTAAGATATTAGGCGCATCTGCGACATAGCCATCTAATAAAATTCGTCGACAGTCTTGGTAATTCAAATTTCCACGATGCGTCACCATCCCAGCCTCGCCAGAGCCATGGAACGATAACTCAAACAAACAACATCACATAGCTCGTCGAAAACATTTCTTCATGTTTGAACAAATCAGCTGTTGTCGTCTTGAAAATAGTTTTTATGTGCGCAATATCAAAATCACTTGTTGTACGTTACAACACCAAGTCGCTGGGAAACACTGCCCCTCTCGGGGATTGAACTGCACTGTCTTGATGCGACCTCGTTGAGTGCCTTCCGTCGAGCTATCAGCGGCGCTTCCCAAATCGGATCTACCCACAAAGTGCTCTGCCGTCAACCGCACAGGTGACACCTCTGACATCCAGCGAGGCCATACAGGGGCCTTGCCCGTGCGAGCGACAGTGATTTCTATAAGCTTCTGACTTGCAGACGCATCTCCGACGGCTTCAGAAGGTTCTGTCGTGGACGAAGCTCCAGTTCGCTTCTCTTTAAACAGTTGAACAAAATGCACGAAGTTAAATCGACAATGTTGCGGTTTCTTTCTGGAGCCCTCCGGAGCATACTTGAAACAGGTGGCCTGATGTTCATGAAGGTGTCCGCTCAAAGCACAGATGCCACGTAAATCTTCACAAAACGCATCCGCGTAGCCGCCAGGCTGGTGCACAGTGCCCCGACGAAGTCCATCACAGACTCGGCAGTCGCATCCTGCAAAGCCACCCCTCAAAAGACGATAGTGTGGGAGACGAGTCATCACGGCTCCCGTCAACGGAATCTGACGGACACTGAAACCTTCCTTCTTCTCGTTGGTGACTTCCGAAGGGCCACTGTCTAGACGCTGTTGGATATGAAAATCAACGAAGCCGGCTTCCACAGGAACCAATGGTCTTCGTCTCTCAGGATCTTTGCGACAGTCTTCCAGCTCTCCGTCAAACTTGTCATCCTGTTGCCACTTCGCCAGATACGGCACACCTTTCAGTTCAACATTCTCGAAAGGCACGTCCGCAAAGTGTAGCTTGAATAAGCCAGCGCAAGAGTTCATCAAGGATTCGACTGCAAGCAAGGTTTGTTTCTGCCACTTGCGGAGTAATCCCTTGGCTGCAACAGATTCAGCGGAGAGAACGCGACGGAGCCACTGCTGAGAAGTGCTGTGCACGAAGTGCAGCACTATGTGCGGGTGGCACGAAAGTCTGGCCTGTTCCTCTATAGGTCCATGCATCTGCGCAATGGCTCCGAAGCTCCCACCCATAAAGGCTGCCGCGCAGCCATCTGCGAAGTGGACTCCGTTGCGCGTTCCATTGGGTCGCAACTGCTCGTCGTATGGCATGACGCCAAGAACGTGCTCCAGGAAGAGTCGCATGGACAGTACGAAAAAACGAGCCTGGGCGACGGGATTTTCGGCCAGGATCTCGAGCATGCGGGAAGCCGTGGGCATGGTGGGGGCCTCATCCAACAACGACAGCACAAACTTCTCGTTGTTGCCTTCCTTTGTGAAACCGCCCAGTGGATGTCGCACACACCCTTGCTGTAACATCACAACCAACGGGTTCCGGGTGTCGGCGACATTGGGAGTCAGAAATCCACCGATGGCTCCAAACCTCAATTGAAGCGCTGAATCAGACAATCAACAGAAACAAAGCGCGTCAGGGACATCTAAAAAAAGCATAAGAAAGTAGCAAAGAACACCTATTATACACATTGGCAGACTCAAGGTACATGAGCATGGCACCATTCTGTTCGTGTCGCAGCTGTTGCCTCGCCCCGTCCGTGCCGATGATTTCTGCCGAAAAGAACAAGAGTTGTGATATGGCGTCTCGGATTCTTTCGTCAACGATGGACGAGCGCATGACGTCTGCGATGGTGGCATATTCTCCTAAGGATAACATTGCCCTGCTCAACCGATCCGAGGTGCACTGCAAAACCGTCTTCAAGGATTCTTTGAATTTCTTACGCTTCACATGTGCAGAAGCCAACCTCACCATCTCCATGCGTTTCCAAGTGTCGCAAGCAACTGCAACGAAGTTCAAATCTGCACACCAGCGCGGCACAGCCGGAGGTTGAAAGCTCCTCGAGCCGGGGACACCGGCTTGGTCCCCAGTGCTTTGGTCTTCCGGAGCCATGTCAGTTGGGTCCACGGCGTCGTATTCCAACTCCGCTCGTTCAAGTAGGTACCCAGCCCATTCACGAAAGGTCAGAGGTGCATCTCGGACAAGTCCATACACTCCATCTCCATAGGGAAACAACTCAGGAAAACACTTTTGCCAATATTCTGCGCTATACATACTCAAAGGTTTCGACGCAGTGTGCACCACCTGTACTGTCTTCAAATCAGGACTCTCGGTCGCTCCCTGCGTGCTGTCCATCTGCGCCACCAGCGCGTCAAGCTTGGCTTGCAGCTCCGCGGAGGACATACTTTCTGCCAGACGACGAAAGCTTTCCACTTCTGCATCGAAATCCATCGTCCTCTCTCGTCCCTGCTGTCTGCTCATGAGTAATTTCAACTTTGCAGCAAACTCTCGGAAGCAACGTTCCACGTCCAGGTCACTGGAACCTACCTCGCCTGCAGCGCAGCGAAAGCCAGGCAAATCTTCGGCGACTTCCTCAAAAGGATTCTCTTCATCCGGTCTATAGTTGTTCTCCACATTCTCCTCCCTTGCAACCTCAGCTTCCCCAACCGGAAAAGTACTGTCTCCGCCCATGTCCGTATCAGCAGGTCCACTCAACTTGAAAGGAACTTGATGTTCTGCTTCCACAGGAGTGGCTTGTGCTCGCACAGCTTCACAAGTCCCTCCAACTTCAGCAAACTGCGCCCGTGCTTCCTCTTCGTTCACAGACAAATGTTGATACGCCACATTGTGCGCCACCAAAAAGCGAGCCGCTCGCATGTATGCAGCTCGGGGTATCTCCGCCCACTCTGCATGGTCCAAATCCTGGCAGGCATCCCATCATGCATGGACACAACGACACACTGACGGTTAGATGTATGAAAGTAGAGTACAAGGACATATTGATACAGAACACTGCGGGATGCATCATAAGACTCACTGAGCCAGCCTCCGGGTCGCAGCCAACCAACGCAATGCTGATGGTTTCTGACACGAATCTGGTCGCGTCCTCTGCCTTTGGCGGGAGATGTGCAGTTTGCAGCTCATGTAACTTAGCCTGTGGAAAGGCGATGGTGTTCGCTCGGATGCCTTTCTGTTTCTCACGCACGGGTCCAGGTTTGTGTCGCTCAGCTACAATCTTCTGAACAACAGCTCGGCCAGAGACAAGAGCAAGAAGGTCATGACCGAAAGAGGTTTGTTTCCACACTTGAAGGCCAGTGGGTATCGTCCGATCCAAAGCGAGTTAGCCAGTGCGAATTTCGGCATTGCAGGCGTCTTTCGCGTGAGGCTTTGTCCACAGTGTCGACACACGAAGCATGCAGTATGTTTCGTCACAGGGGAAGGAATCGCTGCTGTGTTAAGCAACCACATCCATGGAGTACCATCGTCGTACTTGCCAGATGGGTGGGCCACACAACTTCCCAACAACTCAATTTCTGGAATGGACGGCCACAGCTTACAGTAACGACGAACATCGAAAATCTGAGCATGCACCTGCTCCACTTTGGTGGCATCTATCTCTTGCAGTTTCCAACCTTTGGTCACTCCCTGCGATCTTGGGACTCCACCACAGAGATCGTTGTCGCACTCTGGATTCTCATCAGCGCTGTCTATTCCGGCCTCATCCATGACGTCTTGTGCCCGGCCTGCGCGAGCTTCCACAAACAACTGCAAGCGACTCATGTCTTCTAACCAACAGGTGCGAGCGCAGACCGCGCACGACTGCATCTGTCTCTCTCGTGCTTC